ATAATAATAATAATAATAATAACTCATTCATGTAAAGAACACCTGGATTGGCAGGTCACACAGTAAAGGGTCCTGCACAAGTCGAGCAAGTCCCTCCTCGAAAATATCCAAAATCTCTGAATGTGGGAGAGCATCTTCATCTTCATCTTCTTCCTCATCTGCAACTGCAGCTTCCTCATCTGTCAGGATCTCCTTTTTCACCTCCTCATCCTGACAGTGTCCTCCTCCTGCTCTGTCAGCTCCAGGTCCAGAAGCACCTGGACTCTCCTCCATAAAAACCGCAAAAAGTCAGAATTATCTGCTGGAAAGGGATTCAAAAGACAGAAATCTTTCCCAACGCTAAATAAATTAAATTTAAAGTCAGTCTCAGAAAAGCTGCTTACAAATACATCTTTTTGTGTGCTTAACTCGCAACCTGCATCCTGTAAGTTACTGTGTGCAACACAAATCATGTACCGGAAAGAAATGCAGCTGGTTGTACACGGATCCGCTCGGTGAAAAACAAAATACTTCAATATTTGTCAAAACACACACATAAGTGACTTGTTTTATTTATTAAGTATCAAATTATAATAAAATATGATAAAAAAATAATCTTAATACAGGCGCGTATTTTCGACGGAAAACGACTTCCTCCACTTGCTCTCTACCGGACTGTTTTTATGTGCGCAACTTCCGGTGGTGCTGTTCAAGTAAATACGTTGAACGATTTTGTCTTTAACTACGTCTTTATCGAAATGCTGCTGTTTTGTCCGACATGTGGGAACGTTTTAGTCGTCGAAGAAGGACAAAGATGCATGAGATTCGCCTGTAACACCTGTCCTTACGTACACAACGTCACAAGAAAGGTAGGTTTCCGTCGAGTGCGTCAAGCTTGTGATTAAAATGAAGAAGGTGGTTGGATTTTACGTCGAATAAACAGACTCTTTGTTTGTTTGTTTTATTAAAGGTAAACAACCGAAAGTATCCCAAGTTGAAAGAGGTGGATGATGTTCTTGGTGGAGCTGCAGCATGGGAAAACGTGGACTCAACTCCAGGTATTAAAAATAAAAAATAAAATAAAAACAATTGTAATTTAGGGCATATTATGTTAACTGCCTCTCTTTATATGAGGAGGGGGAAAGTTAATGGATTCTGTCTTTAATTATTATTATTATTATTTTGCTATGTGTACTCTTCAGACCAGGTTTTAGTTGGTCTTTATTTCTTATTTATTGTGTAAACTGACATTTCTTTTTTTAATTTTGTACAGAAACTTGTCCAAAGTGCGAGCATCCTCGGGCGTATTTCATGCAGATTCAGACCAGATCGGCTGACGAACCAATGACTACTTTCTACAAATGCTGTAATGCCCAGTGTGGACATCGATGGAGAGATTAAAGATTTTCATTAGTATTTATTTAAAATGTTCAGATGATTTTTCAGTCATCTGATTTTTTTCCCCCCTCTTAAGAATTTCGTATTCACACAAAACCTTCATTATCCTGGTATCACATAATTTGCAGATCATTTCAAAACGTGTTTCCTTCATGAATTTTATTGATAAAATAGTACCTGTGTACAACAGCCAAATAAATCACCTTACATAGTTGTACATCATCCCACATTTAAAGCAGCGCAGACCAGCAGTTTACATGACATTTTGAGGCAATCCATCTCATTTATTTCTTTTTTTTAATTCACAGACTTAATTTAAATCCTGAAAATAAAAACATTTTTTGTGTCACATTGAGTCAGAGGGAGTCAATAACTACTGGCCTAAGAAGCAGAAATGAATAGATTGGATATATTCTGAGGTGTAACAGCATTGGTCCACTGTTTATAAAATAGTCAATAGGATCACTTATTTAGCAAAAAGCTTAACTTTATTGAAGCTTATTAGGATCTCTAATCAGTTGAAAGACATTCCTCTTCATCTAGCATGCGTCTTTGCAATGCAGGTAATCTTAAAGGGCTGATGGGAGGTGAAATGATAGATTCATACCCATTCTTTTAAATAGCCTCTTACTTTACAAATATCTGGGCCGTTATAATCTTTAGTACAGAGTAGTGCATCAGCATGATAGAGCAAACTCATTTAGCACTACTCATTTAGTGACAAACTGTCACCATCAATATACGCTGAATAAGTGAAAATGTGCTTCAACTAACTCAAACTGCTAAAGAGAGAAGTAAAAGCCAAACAACGCGTTGCTTTTACTCTCCAAACGATTACCTTTTAATAAACAAGAGGTGTATTTAAACGTAAAGTGCAAATGTTAACTTCATTATCAAAACAAAAATACATTTAGGACAAAACCTTTGTTGGGGACCTAAAAGTAGTGAGTCACTAAATGTGACTTACTGACTGGATGCTAGAATAAAAGTAACTATAGCATGTAACATGAATGCAGCAGTTTAAATCAGTACTTTTACACACATGTAAGGAYAAACTAGGAAACAACAGCATGAGCAAAATGAAACACGGGCAACCAATGTTTACAATTCTTAACATAAACTCAAAATATCTAAAATGAAAAGTTAAGTTTGTGTTAWGGAATACACACATTTCTGGCCAAAATTTCACAGATGATTGTTAAAGAACATTTTCACAGTTTTAGTTTTTTTTTTTTTCCTTCATTCACATGCATGACTTCACATGAATGGCTGCAGGCCAACCACTGTCTGTGCATCTGCAGGCTGCCAGGTGGCTGTTTTTTTTTTTTTTCTAGTGCCCTTTTATCTTGTGCTGAGCAAAGATTTTTACATTTCAAATTTACTTTATACATCACAGAAGTACGCAGGATATATACAGAAAGTATCCTGCGAACCGATGAGAAAACTGCGAGTACAGTAAAAGAGCGTTTACACAACACTATGCGGAAAAAATAAATGAAAAKGGCGAGGACGCTGCTGTCACTATCAGCAGAGGGGACTGTGAGTTCGTGTAGGTATACATGTACATGGCTCTGTGGCAGACAGCTGTCGGTGGTTAGCAGATACGCTTGTATGTGTAAATATAGCCCTTACAGTTAGGGCAGGTGTGTGTCACATCCTTGAGGTCATCAATCAGGCAGGGAATCAAGCAGCAGCCAAGGTCACACCTGTGAATGAAGAGCACACACGAGCATTCACCAAATATAGAAAAAAAACTTTTACCATCCTTTAAAAAAACAGATCATGTCATAAAATGAGGCTAAGCCTGGAGGCAGCTAGCATGATGCAAAGCGCCAATGCACTAGAACTCAGAAGTCAGCAGAAGGGATTTATTGTTTTGGGTGTGGGGGGAGCTCATTGGTGCGCCCGATAGCTAGCCCTTCATCAGAGCTAAACAACAAAAAAATAATCTGAAGCTCCTATGTTGAACAGTTTTTGAGTTATACACTTGTATGTCCAGACCAGTGGTGGGCACAGTCCCCCTAAAGCACTAATAGGGGTACTAATTTCCTGATTAGTGCTTTAGGGCTTGAAGAAATTTATTGGGGTTTACTTATATACTGATCTTAATTACACTACACATGGTATGGTCTAATTATTAGGAGAACTGTAATATCTGTTAAATGTGATCATTTTTGCTTAAATTGATGACATGCCTGAACACTGATTCAACACATAACTGAACCGTTAATCTTCATTAGGTCAGATAATATTGTGCGAGCACATGGCTTCAGCAGTGTGTTAGGGACCCCATCCTGATGACGTAATAAAATAGGCGGAGTCATGTCCTGAAAATCCTGTTATACTGAACTGAATTCCGGAAATACGGGGCMTGAACGCAGACCAACAAAACTGCCTCCAGACCCAGCTGCTCTCTGTCTGGATTCTATGAACTCTTTCACATTCAGTTCCCATGCATTGGTACATTTTCGGCGTGGTTGAAGCACATAGAATGGTAAACAAACACATTTAACAATGTTTTCTGTCAGGCTTTTGCGTATTTCAAAATTTATTAGTGGATTAGCAATTGCTAAATTTATAGGCTAAATTTAGAAGCACTAACTGAGTTCTATAAATATTATTGATCAACATTAATGTTAACAGCTGATGGTGAAAGCTGTCACATTTTGTTCATATGTGTGTCACTTATCCACTGGGTGACAATATATGAACCTAAATACAGCTGTGGAATGTCAATGATAAGAATTAAGAAAGCAACATGTGACTCATGTCTGTTGAAGAATGTTTATGGTTTGACTGGGTTATTTTAGTGCTTTAGAATCAGCTTTTGCTAAATTTCCATATGTTAGTGCTTTAGAATTAGGAGACCTAAATGTCTGAGTTGGTGTTTTAGGGGTAGTGGAACTAAACTTTAGATTAGTGCTGCCMAACACTGGTCCAGACACCCCCTATTCAGAGGGAGCCCCCTCCTCAAATATGGGGTCTTTCACAAAACCGTTGGCTGGGCAGTACAGGTCGGTCACGTCTACCGTACATTGCTACAAAATTTCAGGCAGATCGGTGCAGCCGTTTCCGTGCTACGGTTGACCGAAAATCTTGAAAAACATAAAAATAAATTGAAAACAATAAGACCCCCTGCTTCGCGTGCATATTTTATAAAAATAACCTGACGAGAGCGGAGTGGATTTAGAACAGTGAAAAGACACGCGGGCCTGTTATCACTTGGAACTCAGATTAATTGTGTTATATGACCTGCCAGATCATGTCAAATAAACTGGTAACAAAACTTTTCCTTATCTGACASTGATGTAAAATTCAAAAAAAGTCTAAAGGACTGGATGTTTGGAAATCCAAAAACATTATTGTGCATCTCATGGTTGAGAAGGGTTTTTATTATCTTTGTACATCCCTGCTGCTACCCTCAATCAGTAATTACTAATAAAATTTCATAACTTTACCACACAGCATGATAAAATAAATACTACTAAAATAATAATGTCAAAAGCATAACGCTAAATCACTGGTGGGTTGAATTAATATTGTACTAAGTTGTGAATTATACATTACGCCTAAGCTCGGACTGACTTACCCTACAAAGAAACAGAAGAGGCAGAAGAGCGTGTTCATGAGGCCAACGTCGTGAGAGATGCGGGTGACGATAGCCTGCTGGCAGTGCGGACACACGGTCTGCACCGGCGAGGTCTGAAACATTTCCCCCTGCAGTACGGTCACAGTGGTGGCGGCACCCGGAGGAGCCAGGACGGTCGCCGTGTGTCCTCCCATGTGGACGAAGTGACTGGGACCAGGACCCATGTGTCCCGGCATTGGCTGAGCAAAGTGTCCCGGCGGAGGCGGGTAGGGGCCTCCTGCGAGGAATGACATTTTGACAAATTAGCATTTAAAAATAAAACAGGGTGACCTGTGCAGAACAGAGCAAAATGATATGAATCTAGTAATTAATGCKAAAAGTAACCCTAGATTTAAGTTTTTATATGTTTACGGGTATTTGTGGGCAGGGTGGAGCACCTTGTGTTGGCAAAGGCATATGCATGGGCATGGGCAYTGGCATGGGACCTTCTCCAGGGACGTGTGGGGGTAAAAAGCCCGGCTGTGGGCCTTCATACGGTGGAGGTCCATAATCTGGAGGAAATGGATGTCCATGTGGAGGAGCAGTTCTTACTGTTTCTGAAAGGTAACACACAAAGATAACATGAACTCAGATCTGCACAAGGAGAGGAGTCAAGACGGTCTTCATGAAATGTGCAATTCTCTGACACAATTGTCATAAATATTGTCACTAATAAACGACACATTTGGATTTATAACACTGTCTAATGCTTCGTGTAGCAAGGAGCAAAGGGTAGCTTAGCAGTTCACTGAGATCAGTATTCTGGAAGTCGGCGTGACGTCATTCGGTCAGGTGATTTCAACCTCCATTTTTTATGGGGGAAACTCATTGTGAGACTCCATTACAAACCGTGTCAAAAGTAGAGACGTCAAACTATACAGCAGTTTTTAAATTGTGTCGATGGGTCAAGAGAAGAAAACCAGAGTTACGATAAATGGCATATCTTACTATTTTTTTCTGAAAATGAACATTTAATTTTGAAGCGCGTTGCGGCTGAAGGGAGCAGGAAACAGTAATCTCGTGGAAAAAACACCGCTGTCCATCGTCAGTCTCATCTTTCTCTTAAACCGAAAAAATATAAACTCCCCAGACCTCCTTTTTAACTGAGGCTCAAAGTTATCTGACAAGCAGTAAAAAAAATCTACAGGAAGAAGAAAATAAAAAGAGGCAAAATTTGAATGGAGATTGGCGGCAATGAAGAGCCGGTGAGAGCAGGACTTTATTAATTAGATCTGTGACTTTTAACATGTTTGGATTTTATAGTTAGTGTGTAGTTTTGGGTGTTTACTCTTCATTTTAGCCAGTTTTAGTGTGTTTTGAATCAAAACAATGAGGCAATTCTTTTTAAACAAGGAGACGCACGGAGGTCTGCAGAGGCAGAACGACAACACGTGTCTTATTTCTCTCCCCTCACTCTTGCAGTTAGAAAAAAAAATTATTTTATCTCTGGATGTTTTTTTTTTTTATGTGAGAAGTGCAGTCCTACAGCAACTTTTCACAATTTTTCCTATTTTCCACATAGAGGAGCTCGTCCTATTTTCCCCCAAAACCAATATGTCAGCCTCCATCTACAACATGGTAACGTGACAAAGTACCCGGCTGTTCGACTTTGAGAATTCCCCCTCACACATCAGATTAATACCAAAAGCCAGACTAAAAGATACTCTAGAGGTAAGTTTTTTAAAGCCGTAAAAAATATGACACAACTGGGACTAAATTCTTACATGAAAGTTGAAATGCAGCATAAGATCATCCGAATTCAATCACAAAACAAAGGTGAATGATCAGCTTGTGCCATTTTTGAAAACACTTCATTRCTCTCTGAAACTGGGCAAAGCAAACGTCTACTTAGTTCATCCGAGTTCACACCGAGAACTGAACTGACTCTTGACTCAGAACTTATCAACATTCAACACACTCCAGTCCAAGTTTGGCTTCTTTACCAGGTTGTCCATTCTTCTCTTCAATGAGGGGAGCACTGGGACCCCCGGGATACGGAGGGGGAGGATCGCTGGACATGTTGGCCGCWGATTTAGGCTCGCGGATGGATCCAACACGTTGGCTCCGACCACTGTTTTACAGGTCAGCTTACTCTCTGAGGAGTGAAACATGAACACTTTCAGACTCTCGGCTTGTTTCTCTCAAAGCTTTTTTTATACAAAGTTTATAATTTTCTAACGACTATCGATGAAAGAAATAAAGTGCTGCACATTTCAGTGTGCAAAAACATGTCAAATGTTTCACTTCAACAAAAAAACGAGGAAAAAAGAAGAAAGTTCTGCAAATCCTAGATAATTATCAGCAAGATAAAGAAAGGAGCAACACTTGTTGCGGTTTCACACGGCTCAGGTTTCAGAGGGAAGCGAAACTTTCTCTCAACCTAAATCATGCATGTGATGATTTAACGCTGAGCTCGGGTTTTCTCTGACCAAGTCTAGAACATTTAGGAACATTCGTGTACGAAGAGATATTTCCACGTCACTTTGAAAATCTAAATGTGTGACTCAATATGACTCAGACTGAAACAACACAAAACAACAAGTCAAACCTTTCTGTTTAACCTAAATAATTTACCTGAATGACCTATTGTAACCAGTTTACAGATGGGCAGCTATGATTCACAAAAAAAATCCTGCTTTAAAAGATTTACCTGTTGCTACTAGGAACAAAAACAAATCCCCATGATGAGGCAGGCAAATCTACCACAGGCTGTGATGTATTCAAAAACATATTGCTTTTACTAAACATAAAATTGTTTTGATGAACATAAAGGCACAAATTTAGGGGTTTTAAACAAATCATTATGTATTTGTATTGATTAAAACACAAAATGAATAATCCTAGTTGTTGATAATATAAACAACAAATAAATGTTCAGAATTGGAGGCTATGATGATGAGCCCAACCTCGTTTGTTTCGTTAAATTAACTAGTTATAAAGTTCTATTTAAAATCTACTAGCAGATAATCCTGCTCAACCTACTAACCATGAATAACTTAGTTACGTAATCAGCACTGGTTTGACCTGCTCCATCTATAAAAAGCGGATTATTATTTTAATAACTAACTTGTTTACTAGCTAGCAACGGAGCGGAGAGATGATGTAGTACCATTTGAGCAGGATAAACGGCAGGTCAAACACAAACTCGTATCTTGTGTCTTTCCTTCAGCTGAAGAGGACTGAGCGTTTGTTTGAGCTCAGCTGTCAGGCTTTTGCGTTCAAACAGCTTCAAGCTAAGCTGTCATTAGCTAGCTGGCTAACGTCGCCATGATTCTGGACACAGAAACTAAAGATTAAAGGTACGGGGAGAAGCACGCGGATTAACACGGTTAACACTTCTGCTTCGGTTGCTTCTAGTCGTAACGATAATGAAACAAATGTCGACCAGCTGAAAATCAAATTACCTGAATTGTGTGAACACCGCCGACCTGTGTTGTGACTGAAGTTGTTTTTGACGTTAGCTGCTTCAGCGGACAGCCAACATCCGCTGAGACGGATTTACACTGACGTCATTATTCCTGGTGTACACCGGTGTTGTAGTGATTTTAGTAACCCTGTCCAAAAAGGTTACGACGGTGGCCGACTTACTAACAATAAAATGACAAAAGTGGCACATGGGCTATTAACCATTTATATTAAAACAACTGTGATAGGCAATAAAAATATACACTAAATTTTAATAAAAATTAAATGCTATTTTTCTTGCTTTTATATAGATTATTATTTTATAAAATTGTACTAAACCTAAATGTTTAGCTAACACCGTGTATATGTAATATTGTTATATAACACGATTTATTGACATCAGTATGAATGTCTTTGAAACTCAGATAAGAGCATTTATTTTGAAAATGATACCCAGTAGTAAACAACTTAAGTATTTTACTTTGTCAGAATTATTA